AAAATAAAAATGTTCCAAAATACGTATAATGGAAACCTTTGATCCCACAATGACTTAGAATTTTTTAAGGATATATTTATATGACAGGAAAAAATTATATTTATATGACAAGAAAATCACAACCAGTATATTTTTATGAGTACTTGAAATAAAATGATTGAATATCTATTTTTATAATCGCTACCATTCTTGAATTATCACATGAAACTATTAAGCCTAGTTTTGAATTTCAATGTTAATTTTTTTTTTATAACATAAAAACATTGGCTTAAATTTTAAATTAAATATAAAATTTCCAAATGAAAAAAATTCTTTTAGAATTAAAATGATTGAATAATTGGAATAAAATGATTGAATATCGATCATTCATAATCACTACTATTCTTGAATTATCACATTAAGATATTAAGCCTAGTTTTAAATTCCAAAGTTAAAACTTTTTCCTTACTTCAAAAAAAAAAAAAAAAAAAAAATTTTTTTATCAATTTTAAATTAAAAATACAATTTCCAAATGAAAATAAAATTTATCAGATTTAATTAGAAAAATCGAATTTAGAATATTTATTAAAATTACTAACTGTTATAAATCATAAAATAAAATATAAATATAGAGAATTTAAAAAAAAAAATGAATGAATTCTTCNAAAAGAATGAATTCTTCTTACTTCTTACTGAACTTCTTAAAAGAGCACAGGGTTGTTACCAATCATAACTATATTTTGGAGACCTATATTCATATTTATTATTTAAATAGTAGGGAACATTTAATCCTGAAAATTGAATTTACATAATTTTAAAAATCTTCATAGTATTAATATTTTCTTAATTCTAACATTACTGTCTTAAACGAAAGTATGTAAAATCACACATGATTTTATTTAAACTAATTTTAAAATAATATTGTTCTAATAATAATAAGTATTTTAATTTACTTATAGCTCAGTACCCAATTAAGAAAATAGTTGAAGTTAAAATTAAGCAATTAAAAGTAGAATACTCCAGCAACAATCAGTTGTTTCCCGAGATTTAAAGCCAACTGAAGGTTGGTGCAAATGAGAATTTAATATTGTGGGCTGACCGCTTTTACTTTCCAAGCACACAGAAGCTGGATTAAAGTTAAGGTTTTCGTAATTCCTGCCTTTCCATAAATATTTGTTTTGTATAATTTTTTGTTGTTTTATTGAAGTCATATAATAAGTGATATCACTACATAAACATGTTTTTAATTAGTGTCAAATCTTCTAAACTTGAATTAAGTTCTACAATAATCAGATTTTGTCTTTTTACACTACGGATGTAAAATGTTTAGATCTAAGGATTGCTATCATAAAGACCTCTTTTTTGTTTTATGTTATTTAATATTTTACAACTTTTACACAAAAGCAAAAATATTGATAATAATGCTTTAAGAATTTCATTTTATTTTGAATAATAAAACTCTTTTTTAATAATAATAAGATATATTTTGTTTTAAATAAGATACAAGTCTTTTTATTTTTCATGCTACTTACTTGTAATTACTGGGAATTTTTTTCAATGATTTTAACAAATTAACATATAGTTTGTCTATGGTAAGAACTCTCCCTGCTATGAAGTCTGAGGCTGTCAGCTGCCATGGAAACAAGAATAGTGCATTATCAGTTTTTCTTTTGTATTTTAATATTATCACCACTATAAAATGATACTCCAATCACAATATATGTTACAGAATAAACAATATTAACCTATAGTAGGGATATAGCAGATCTTTTAGTAAGTACAGAATACTCTCTCACAAATTAAAATTGGTGGTAGGATAATTTAATATTAAAAAAAACAAACAGTAAATAATATATTTGGAAATAAAACATTTTGATTATTCTTCTATTTAGACTACAAATCAAAGAATTTTATTTTTAAAGCTTTTTATAACCCATGTATTTTATTTAACGACAACAGAGAAAATTCACTTAATTATCTCTTCATTTTATTTGAAGGGGAAAAAAACTGAATCACATATTGTTCAAATTATAAACAAGTAACAAAGAAAAAAAAAATTTAAAGTCAATTCCTACTTAGGTTAACACAGAAAAATTTTATTTTAGTCACTTTTTATTAAATTATTAAAAATTTTTCTCCCATATAAAACTAAAATTACATTTAATCAATAAATTAATATTTGAAAAAACTTGTATTAACATCAAGTGTTATCCACTACAAGTTTAACAAAATTTATTTGAACTTGAGTGGATGAATAAAAAGTATTTTATTAACGATTGAAAATTTGAACAAGATAATAGGGAGAGTGTGAACTAATAATAGGAATGGAAGAAAAAAAAATTCACCCTCAACTGTTATAATTTCTTTTAACATTTATTGTAAATAACGTTCCAGAGTTAGGTAGTAGAGCTCTTCAATAACGAAGCTAACATCAAAAACTATATACCGTAAAATGTCATACATCAAGCCTCTGTGCAAATATTAACTATAATTATATAAACATAGCTTATGATATAGCAAATTTAAAAGTTTGTGCAACATACTAAGAACACTAAACTACAGCAATACTGGTAGTGGTATAAAATAGAAAATGAAGTAGATATTACTAAATCGTATACTGCATGGAATATATTTAAACAAAAAAAAACTTTTTAAAATATTTTTGTAACTTTAATTTTTATAAAATTTTAAAATTAAATATTGTAAATAAATAATTCAAAATTAAATATTCAGCACTATTATTATATTAGTTTATCGAGCACTTATTGCGACTTCAATAATAAAGAGACACGTCAGCTTAAAAAAATAAACATTTTTAAAAAATACATTTTCATAATATTGCATAGATAGATACAACATTTGATATTGCATGAGATAGCAATGCAAAACGTAGTACTATTATTGCTTCAATGTATTACTCTTAATTGAAAAGGCAAAATGGTAAAAAATAGCTTATACTCGTTTTGAACTTTTTAGGTATTAATTCTTTAATTAGAATACTATTTTTTAATTGTTCTAGGTACTTAAAATCACTAGATACTTAAGAGGTATTGACATTAGGAATTAATATTTTTAACTTTTTAAACCTTGACACAGTAATCATATAACAAAGCTCAATATTTTTTTTAAAAAACTAAATGGTGATAATAGAATTTCAAAATGAGATTTGTAAATACAGATATTTAATATAAAAAAAAACTAAGCATTTTATATTTCTTACCTCGAAAAGCCATTAATAATGAATATTTTTTAAAGGATAAGAAAAATTTAAATAAGAAAAATAAAAAAAGGAGTAAATAATTCATTAACATAACATTAATTGTTGTTGTACACAACACTAAGCCGTAAAACGGGGTATTTGCAATGACCTTGAAACATCCTGGGGGATGATCCGAATACATATAATCTGGATAGCTTAAATATGAATTAAAGTATGTCAGCTAGTTTAAATAATTTTTTCATTTAGGTATTAATCTATTGAATAGAAATAACTAAATCAACATTATTTCTATTTCTTACTGTGAAAAGTCTTAAATGGTAATTAAAAATTCATAGATAATTTTAGAATAGTTAACTTTAATGTGAATTGGTAAGTGAAGTAACTTAAATCAAGAAATACATGAATATTAAATTTTTTTTCCTTTTAAATATTAAGAATAATTAAAAAATCGAAATATCTTTATTTCTTCTTTGTAAAAGAACCCTATAGTATTTACATTCTAAATAGTTAAGTAGGAAATAATAAGAATTATAAAACAGAAACAAGTAAATATGCACTTAACTTTCTTTTGTAAACAATATGAATGTTACAGGGAAAATATTAACATGATTTAAATTTGAAAAACCAACTTAATTGACTAGAAATATGTCATCATTTTTCTTAAATTTGAAAACATACAAGCAAACTGGATAAAAAAAAAAAACTTTTTTCACTGAAATATTTGTAAGAATCAAATTAGTATTTAACATTGAGTGCATGACGAAAATAAAATATACTTAAACTAATATGGTATATAAAGGTATGGGGAAAAAAAGTAGCATCAAAAAAATGTAAAATTAATAAAATTTGCACAAAAAATATCACAATGTTTTAAATAATACTAAATTCAAAACAATAAATGCATTAGTACAAAGAGGAAAATAAAAACAAGTAAAATAATATAAAATAAATAAATAGAAGAAATAAATATCAGCAAAGCAATGATATCTTGGATCAATTTGCGAGTCTTATTTTTCCGAATTTGCATTAATAAATAAGTTCTGTAAATAAAATATATCTGATTTAAAATTAGAAAGCTCCATTGTAACTTTTAAGTAAAAACAATAAATTAACATAAACATCAAGCATTTCATTTCTAAACAGCAACTTATAAATAAGGATTTTCCTGATAATTTTTTTAAAAAGATTCATTTTTAAACTTTTTTCATTTCTTAAAAAACTGCTGAAAGGAAATGATTTCAAAAACTAAATGTGTTTTTAAAAAAGAAAAAAAAACCTTTTGAAGTTTACTGTATTTTGAACAGCAAAATAAATACATTTAAAAATGTACAAATAATTCAAAATGTAAAATAATCAAACATATCTTACTACACAAAAAATGCTTTTAAAGAATTACAAAAAATAACAAATTAGACTAGATTTTTAAATTGTAAAAATTACAAGAAAGTGTAAAACTATCACTCGTACAGGAATGCCAGCCAGTATTAATGCTTTTTCTTAGACATTAAGCCCTTCTTTTTGTAATAACAAAAATGAAATTTTCCGTATGCAGAATGAAACAAATAATATTCTTTAAAAATAAAACTTCAGATTGTAAAAAATTAACAATGAGAGGTTATCTAAATAATAGAAAAATCTCTTTAATTTTATTTCAAACAAGTCTATCTCCGTGTAACAAACAAAAAAGTTTACCTTCATGAAAAGCAACAAGGTAAATCTTAATTTCAAAACGGCTATAAAAGAAATTTTTCTTAAATGGAAGGGAGAAAAAAATAAATAAAAAAATAAAAGGCAATCGTGCTTTCCTGCATTTTTTAAATAAGTTTCCTGTAACTTCGTAGTTCGAATCGAAATCTGTAGAAATTACAGAAAGTTTGTTACAGTAAGCATCGCTGGTTATATACACAGATCTGAAAGCAAATAATTTATGTAAAAAGAAACTACATTTTAGCACATTTCATAAACCAGCTATATTTTACTTTATATTTGTAGCAGTATTTTAATTTGTAACTTGGTCTATTTTGGGAGGAGGTAGTCTAGGACCCCTTGACTTTCTAGATTTATCTAACCTATGATCTACTACAGGTACAAGAGGTTGCTTCAAGGCAGGCAAAGTATTTGAACTTCTTTGATGATACTGAATTTCATACCTAAAATGATAAAACACAAAAAGTAATAATATGTACCTTTTATAGGGAAAAAATGTATTCATTACAAAACTGTCACCACAAAAACGAAAAAAGAAAAGAAAAAAAAAACTAATTATTTATTAAATTTATGTTCCTAATACCAGGGATAAGATTGGCCAAATGCCAAAAAAGCTGAATTTCCACGACAGTAACAATCTTTTAATAATAAATTTTAGATAATAAATAACTATGTGTTGATAGATTTTTAATTGCATAATAATTTATTAATATGTAAATAATCACATTGACACTTAGTAAAATAACCCATTGAAAAAAATAAAGCTAGAAATTAAATTTTTCTTCAGTTCACACAAAGGAGACAATTATTACAAAAGTACAAGTTGACTGTACCTATTTTGTGAAAACTTAAGACAAAATTTGTGAAATTTAAAAAAAAATTTAAAAAGTCAACACAAAAATATGGTAAAATAAGAAAATATTTTCAAAAATATTTCAATATTTTTTGAAAAAAGGTTAAGAACATTTTGAGAAACAACCGTCTTTCTTAAAATTGAATTTGTGAAAGTACCACTTAACGGCAGTAAATTTGACCTGGACAGACCCTTGTCTAATTTAGCTAAAGCTTTGAGAAACATATCAATAATTGTGAAGTAGAAACATTTAATAACTCCTTAACTACAAAAAATTGCTAATTAAGTAGTTTGAATAGTTAAAGTAGTTTGAATTTTCTGTTTATCTTCGAAAATCAAAAATAAATATGATTGTTGTTTCAACGGCTGAATTTTCAGAAAAAGCGGAATATTTATAACAGAAAAAAGTTAAACTTTTAGAGAAAAATCAGAGTTTTCCATAAAATAAAAAAAGGCTAATATTCGAGAGACAAAAGCAAAAATCCGCTAGAAAGTGGAAAAATCTCATCCTTACAATAATAAGGCATCTTTAATCATACGGTTTTCGAAACTTGGTATTTTTATCCAGTTTTAATAAGTAGAATATTAACAGAGGTGCCAACTTTCCAGAATAGATTAGAATAAAATATAATCAGTTACCGTTTACAAAATTCAAATTAGTGCAATTGGAGTCACTCTATATATGGATATAATATCAATAAAATTATGGGTAAGTTTACAATTAAATTTTTTAAAAAAATACCACTTAAATGAGGTACTAAATTTCAACACTGAAATTTTTCACTTCATTTTAAAATTCCTTGGAAAGATTATTAGAATATTCTAGTTTTTGGTTAAATCAGAACTAACCCCTATTTTCTTTTTATCATGCTGAATTTGAACTAGAATTGGAAAAGAAAAAGAAAAATTTGAAAACCCTTTTGTTTTTTTTCAAAAATTTAAACCATTTTATTTTTTTGTTAAAACGAGTTTTTCTGGTTACCTAGTTAAACCTGGCATTCTCTGGTTTACTTAAAACAAAAGGCAAAATAATAATTTATAAATAATAAGGCATAATCAGGATTTTTTTTCAGCTATTAATTCAATCATCAACAGCCCAGGCTTACCCTTTTCCTGCTAGCGTTTTCCAGTTTTTAGTTCTTAAAACTAAAACCTCTTTTTCTAGGCTATCTATCCATCTCAAATTAGGCCTGCATCTTTTTCGTGTGCCAACTGGTCTGACATTGAAAACTCTTTTTTGTGGTGCGGTCTTTGTCCATTCGGATAACATTGCCTGCCTATTTTATTCTTTGTTGTTTAATAAAGTTAATAATGTCAGGTTCATTATATGAGTGATAAAGCTCTAAATTTGCTCTTCTAAGCCACACACTATATTTTTGAATTCCTCTAAAAATACTTCGCAAGACCTTTCTCTTAAACCTCCTTCCTTACTCTTAAAGGTACCCAACACAGCCTCAGTCGTACAAGATATGGTGCAGGTTTCACAAGCATAAGTTAAAATTGATCATAAGAGAGATTTACCTAATGAAACTTTTGTTTTTCTATAAATTACATTAGATGTTATGTATTTTCGAATTCCATTAAAATTTCTATTGGCTATAGTGATTCTCCCTTGTATTTCCATTGTAATACTGTTCGTATCCTCGATCACAGGACCCAAGTAAACAAAACTGTCAACAACCTCAACTTTATATACTTCAATTTCTAAGTGGGTGTTATTGAAGCTGGTTTTAGAACAGGGCAAATATTTTGTTTTGTTCTCGTTTATTCTCAGGTCCATCTTGAGAGCCGCTTTCTCTAAAGAAATAAAAGCTTGCCTTAGTGCAACAGGTGTCTAAGAGCTATTAATTAATATTATCTATAAATTTTTAAAATATATTCATCTTTCTTCCATAAACATGCTAACATATTATAAACGAATGGCTGAAGATTTTGAATATACTAATACTTTAGAATTACTTAATGTTATTAATTAACTGTATTCAATTTACAACATTTGTATAAATTTAATTAATAAAAATGCTCAAGTTTTTTCTCAATAGAATTTATTCATAGAGCATGAAAAATTTTAAGTAATATGTTTTTCAATTCAAAAATATTTGGAAATATTAGAATGATAAAAAGGACTAAAATCATCAAATTGGTTGGATACATATGTGCATGTAAAACAGTAAAGGTATGTTTTAATACAATTGATTTAATGATAAATAAGGAATGGAATAATTTTCTTAAACACATTGAAGCTTTAAGCATATCAATATGCTTATATTATAACAGCAAATAAAATATTATGCATTGATAAAATTTTAAATGAATTTTTGAATGTTTTTCAATATTTTTTAATTGAGGTCTTTTGTATAAACTTTGTTTTTTGAAAATGTTAGAATCAATAAAAATACTGATTTGCAGCAAGCAAAAACATATCACCTGGAATAACTTTTATTCTCATGAGGAGATTACTAATTGTCAATCTCAATGGTTCCTAGGCCTGAAATATGCTAATGCTAATTAGATTATAATCATTCAAATATGCTAATTAATAAGATTATATCATAATCTACAAAGAGAGAAGATTATGTTTTAGAATAGCTAGTTGGAAAAAGTAAAGATAAGATTTCTTTACCTTTTTTTATTATTTATTTCAATAAAATCTCACTGGTTTCTTAGCTTTGGTAGCCCAACGACCTGAGCACAAAGTCGCGCACTTTACAGTAAAACAGTTTTATGAGGACCAATGCCGCGCCCCCTTACACCCTACAAAGGCTGATCAAAGTAGTCACCCACCCGCTTACTCCACGAATTTAAAAAAAAGTAATCTAAATATATATATATATATATATGTATTTAGCCTTTCTCTTTACATGTTTTGGCTTTATATCTTTGCAAACTTGTCTTTATGTGTCATATCAAATCTCAGATTATGGCAAACAAGTCACACAAAAAAAAAAAAAAAATCCTATTAAACCAGAACAAGTTTATGATCATTTTTTATGTGCTATAAGAAATAAAAATGTTACTACTTGAACTAAAATTAACTTACTGTTGGTGAGAATAATTCTGTTGGTTTCTTAAAGGTAGTCTAGGAAGTCTAGGCTGATGTTGTTGACGAGGTGACTTCTGAGGCTGATGATGATGATAATTATGATGATGACGATACCCATTGCCATTCCTTACATAACTATCTGACCAATCAAGTTTGCAGTCATCATGGCGATTGCGTCGATCCTCTCGCTGAAATTTGTCATGAAACAAAAGCTTGAACTAACAAAGAACAATGAAACAACAAACAAAGAAAAACCAACTAAAACAAAAACTAAGTTTAAAATTTATTACAAATGGTACAAAAGTCAAAACACAATGAACACTTAATAGACATAGTGTATTTTGATTCCTATCATGCCTATATAATTTTTTATTTCAAAATCTCTTTAGATATAGAAATTAGAACAAAAATTATCAGATTTAAAACCTTTTTCTGAATATTTAGTTTTTTTTAATAATACTTGATCATAAATAACTGCCTCTTTAACTGAATTAAAACTTCAATTAGAAAATGGAAACTTTTTTTACGCTTTAAAATTTTTGAAATTATTATCATACAATTTTCAAATTAATTTGTTGAATTAATTATAAGTATTTTACATTAAAAAAGCAGGGTACATAGAAATTTTTTTAATAGAAAATAAACACTTTTTAAGCCCACAAAAAATATTAGGCACTTATTTTTAAAAAAAAATCATAATTAGGGTACACATAACTGCCAACACGGATGGGGAAAAATCCAGTAGATTTTACAAAGTAATAAATTTCATGATAATTGTTGCAAAATGTACTTAATATTTTACACATGGGGGATTATTGTTAGAAGATTTATTATTATTTAGGGATTTTTATAGTCAGTCATCAAAATAGAAAAATATTTTCTTGTCCTTAACATTAAATGAAATGTTATGCATTACGCTCACTCATAATTTTGAATAGTAATATGCATTTAATTCATTGAAGATAGTTAAAAAGACTTTTAATTAATTAAGAAAGGGAGTTCTGAATAACTCAAAATTTTAGAACAAAAAAGTATAAATGAGGCTTTTTATAAATGAGGCTTGTTTCATTACGTATAATATATTCAAACAAGTAATAATTTGAGCAAAAATTTTATTTCAATAAGGATCTGTTTAGGAAACTGTCTCAATTTTAGGGAATTTGTAAAAACCAGGAGAATTATTATTAAACCAGTAGATCAGCAGAAACTGGCATAAACCAGTAGTCTACTGGAAAATGCGGTAGAGTTAGCAGCTATGGGTTTGTTTACTAATTAAAAAAATTTTCCACCTATTGTAGAAAGTTCTTCTAACATACATACATACATATATATATATANATATAATATATATAGAGAGAGAGATTAATAAACAAAACGCAAAATCATTAAAAAAAATATGTTGTTGCATTGATTAAGATAAAATAACATTTTCTGACCAAGAACTATCTTCTTGATTATATTAGCCAACATAAAAGCAATTTATGCAGAATCTAAAATATTCAATATTGAGTTACACATTCCATTTTTTTAATTAATAATCACTGCATTTGATTATTTAAAAAAGAATAATTTTAATTCAAAATTAAAATTAATTAAATTCAATTTTTAAAAAAACTGTCAGGTATATTTTTTAGATTTAAAATTAAGTTGTTTATAAAAGTATATTAAAAAAAACAATAAAAAGTTTAATATCATTGATCATGCTGATTTCAGAAAAATATGTAAAGAATTAAGCAAACTAAGAAGACTAAATAAAATTCATATTACTAACGTGAAATAGTGATTATTAAATTTTATTGAATCTTATTATTATCCCTTGTAAATTTTGATTAAAATTTATTACTTAGCTCAATAATTTTTTTAATAAAACGATTAAAATTTCAATAGTTTTGAAATGTAAATACAATAAATATTGAAGCTAAATAGTTATGTCAGAAGTAAAATATTATATGGTCCCTACATTCATAATATTTTAAGAAATATGAGATTATTGAAATTTTTATTTTAAATGTTTCTAAATGAAATCATTAAGGGATAACTTTAAGTTTTTCAGAATGACAAATGTGAATTAAAATTAAGAGCAAATTTGAATTTTTAGAACAAATTTGAACAAAAACTGTAAAAAAAAATAAAAAAAAGAAGATACTAGTACTGAAAGAAAAATATTCAACCTTTCCATTACGATGATTAGAGGCTCTCTGTATTTGCCTCAAAGTATCAGAATAGTCTTCCATTTGAGGTGACGACCCATTTGGTGAATGGATTTGTTGTCCATCATCAATTGCTGAATCTGGAGGTGTCTTATTGTAATTCTTGTTACGTGACACATGTTTAGAATATTGGTCTCTGAAAAAGATTATGTTAAAATTTAATACACATTCAAAAGCATGGAAATTAAATAAATAATACATTTACAATGAATCACATATAAATTGTAAGTGCATTTTTTTTTGAAAAAAATATTTTATTTAACTATTAAAGCATACTTGCCAACATTGGAGAAATAAAATAACAGAGATTTTACTGACCGACCCAATTTTGGGTTGATGTTTAACTCTGTAGCCTTGTAATTTTGAAACCAATCCAGCCTGGATCAGGTATTGGGAGAAATTTTACTTTTTGATAGAACTAACCCGCATTTGAGTTACATGGAGAGGAAAACCACGAAAATCTCCCACAATCAGCCTGACAACAAGGGGACTCTAATCTGTGATCCGTCTACCGCTGAGGATATTTCGCATCAGCAATGTGGTTGGTGCAAGCCGGATGCGGAATTCGTATTGACTAGTCATTGCTGGGATTTGAACCTGGGTTCAAATCATTGGGAAGCAAACACTATCTCCTGAGCCATCACGGTTCGACTTAAACTACTAACACTCAACATCAGTACTGGCAATAGCACCATCTGTTGAGGAATAAGTGAAGTATTTTTGCATCAGTGGATATTTTATCACCAAAATTTTACTTTAAATTTCTTTAACAAAAACGGAGAAATTTGGTGACATTCGGGTAAACAGGATATAGTCAGAAAATACAGGAGACTAAACAACTTCGTTGTTATGAAAAAGTGTAAATACTAAATGAATAAGTCAAACTTCAAGTTGTTAAGTAATTTTGCTTTTCGATTAAGCAATGATATAAAAATTTATTAATTCTATATTTTAAATATTTGTTAAATTGTCTAAGATTTAAAGAAAATTTACTCTTTATTTTTTCATCCCTCTAACATTTAAGATGCATACCATTGTAAAGTTTTCATTAATTTTTAAAATTTGTCAGTACATATACCAAATAATAAACAGAATTAACTTAATAATATGAATTTTTTAATTGATTCTGAATTCCTTATGCATTTGCAGGGTGCTTTTTCAAAATCACTGGCACCTCTTGATTTGAAGGGCCCTAATGTCGCTAAATATATATTAATTATATTTTAATAGACATGTGCCCTTTGAAACAAAACAAAAAATAATAAAATAAATATGAAAAATAATATTTTATATTAACTTAGCCTAAATATAATTTCCACTAGTTATAGTAACCTGAAGTTCTACTATTCTGCTAATTGAAAGGTCTTGAGAAGTGTTTTTGGAGAAATTCAAAATAATGGTATGTGGCTTATAAGATCAAATCTAGAGCTTTATAACTCACATAATGAACCAGACATTATTAACTTTATTAAATGTCAAAGAATTAAATGGCCAGGTCACGTTATCAGAATGGACAAAGACTGTATCACAAAAAGAGTTTTCAATGATTGACCAGTTGGCACGAAAAAGAGGTAGGCCAAATTTGAGATGGATAAATGACCTAGAAAAAGACCTTTTAGTCTTGAAAACTAAAAACAGGGGAAAATTAGCAGGAAAAAGGTTAGCCTGGAAAACACTTCGTCAGAAGACCAAGGCCACCCTGGGCTGTTGAGCCATTGATGATGAAAAATAATAAAAAAAATAGTTTATATTAACTTAGCCTAAATACACTTTCCACTAGTTATAGTAATCTGAAGTTCTACACTTTAACTGCTTTCTTTTCTTAAAATAAAAAAGAGAATTTTTTTTCTAAATAAAAGAGGGACAACAATTGTCAAAAAAAGGGCAAGGAGGGTGCATTTACCTTTAAAGAAGGGCAGGCAGGGTGGGCCATCCATCTAAAAACCCAAAGGAAGAAAACTATCACTTGCTATTCTGAGAATAGAAAAAGCCTCTTTTAGCTGAATATATTTCTTCAGGATCCTCAATTTTACAAAATATTTTTGATCACACAAAAAACAAAAAAAAAACTTTTTTTTTAACTTCTGAGGAATTTAAAACGTTTTCTTGAAATCAAAGACTTTTCTTGAAGAATAGAAAAATATCAGCAAAGCATAAAATCAAATAAAGAACCAAAGATATTGAACCTGATTCAAGGAACTGCTTTTTTAAATAAATACATGTTATACAACTTTTAAAATGTTGGCACAGTTATAAGCTTGACTAAAATTTTAAAAATATTTAGTACTTGATTCTCAATATTGAAAAATTTTTCATGTCACTATTCGATTTTGTGATATCAAGATTTGACTGAATGTTATTCAATATATGCCATTTCAAAATGTTACTAACAAACATTTTAAACAAAACATTTTACATTTAACAATTCTGCAAACAGCTGTGATAAATAAATTACTCTTCAACACTTAACCTAACTGCTAACAAGAAAACTTTAGTAAACTTTATAATTTATTAAACAATTTAGAAGTTTCTGCTTTAATAGTCAGGGGTCTGTTTATGTTTTTTAAGAGGTACCTATTTTGTGAAAATTCAGACATAACTTGTGAAAATTATATTAAAAAATCAACACAGAAATATGGTAAAGTAATAAAATATTTTAAAAAATTGTCTCCAAAAATATAAATAATTTTTGACTGGTAAATTTCTATATATCTTTCCCCATATATTCAAAAACAATTTTGCTATTGTAAAATTTGGGGTAAAAATTGGATCCAAAGATCAAAATCCATAAAAATCATTGCCAATAGTTAACTTTCACCTTGATTTTAATAAAATCAATCATTTAACAGTTCTAGTGCTAAAATTTATTTTAATTATGAGAACATTTTCAACTTGGTAATACAGAAAAGTTTTACAGAGAAAAAAAAATAGTTCATAAAAAAATAAAAGTCTGTTAGAATAAATTTACATTAATGTTAATTTGTGAGTTTCAACTTCTTGTAAAGTCAACTCTTTGTTTCATTTTTAAAAACTCAGAGAAAAAAAAGGCTCGCTTTGATATGGCTTAAGTGACCGGTTGGGCTTACCACGTTGTACTATCTGAGCAAACACGATCTACCTTTTCGTATAAGGCAGCTGGAAGAAAAGCTCCTGTTTTCCACAGATTGCAACATGAGATTGGGGTTTGCATGAGAACTTGCTTTTTTATTTGTGAAACTACCGCTTATCCTAAAGTTGAATTTGTGAAGGTACTGCTAAACGGTAGTAAATTCATCCTGGACAGACCCCTGATAGTTTACTCATATACAATAAAAATTAGAGAAAAATGTTTTTTTTTTCAAATATTCTGCACTGTCATAAAGAAAATCTATCTTATACCTTTTCAAGTCCTGCACTTGATTTGATAAGGAGGAATTAACCTTAGCCGCATCTCTAAGAGCACTACGCAATTTTCGAATTTCTTTTTCTAATTTTTCAACTGCTTCTGTGTGTTGCTCATCAGATGTTTCTGAAATTCATAAAGTAAAATTTATAAATAGAAAAAAATTTAAAATTCACAAGTTCATAACTAAAATATCATGCAATAGCAAAGGCTCAATTTTTAACAAATCAATTCAAATGAATTAATCTAAATTTTCAACTCTACTTTGAAAACCTAGTAAATGTTTTTTATTTTTTGGCCAAAATTGGTGTCACATGTCTAAAAATAGGTAGGTAGGTACTTTATTTACGTCGCACTTTAACTGCATAATGGGCTATTGGCGATGGTCTGGGAAACATCCCTGAGGATGACTTGAAGTCACGCCATCACAAAGAGGGTGGCTCCCCTGCTTTGGTAGCTCGAACTCCAAGCGAAGTCTAGCACTTAACGGTAGAACAGTTTAACGAGAATCGATACTGTGCACCCTTGATTCATGCACAGACTGATCAAAGTGGTTGTTCACCCGCTTACTGACCAAAAGTGATGCTTGACTTCAGTGTTCTATTGGAAACCGTGTCTTTACAATCAGTCCACTACAGGACATCTAAAAATAGAAGCTTGTAGTATAAATCCCCCAATCTTTGTTTAAGACATATATTAAAACTATAAAAACAATAACACAGAAAATTTTCAGTTCAAAATTTTTCAAAATTCAACAGTGCAGCTAATAAAAAAAAATATTAATTAACCACACGTCACAAAAAATAAAAAAATTAAGTAACATTAAAAAAAAAAAAGAATTTTTTTCTTTTTTACATAACAAGGTTGGTTAACAAAAAGTTGCTAGAAGTCTTTTAACTAGACAAGGGCTTCTGCCACTTAATGTAACCAAATTAATTAAATTAGAATCTGTAACAAATTAAATTCATTAAAATTAAAAAAAAATATTGTTTTAATGTAATGAAATTTTGATGTTTGATAATAAGGAATCTTTATACTATTTTTAAGTACTATAATATACATTACCTATAACCCTCAATGAATTAAATTCTGGCATTGAAAAGAATGTCCAGTCATTGCATTAAATACATGACATTTTGAGTCAAAATATGAAATGAGAATTATATACTTTGCCTAATCAATGTATGACTATTGGCCATTCATCAGTCATTTTATACAATGTCTAGAGCTCTGTTTGTAATTCATTAATTATTCTAATTTGGTCGGTCATTCTGAGAAACCTAATTTGGTTTTTTAGGGTAATGCCTATTTTTCTGAACCTGAATTAGTTAAAAATGTTATGGAAAATCATTCACAGAATTACTTCTTAATATTTTACACTTACACCTGTAAGACAGTATTAATACAGTAGGAAAGATATCAAATCATACTAAAAAGATTCCAAGGTATATTTTAAATTTACATATTTTTAAGTGTACCCATATGTCAAATTAAATTTTTTTTTTAAATTTTCTTATTTTATAACACATAGAGGTAGAAGGAAAAAAAAGTGGAGAATGTGTAATAATCACAGTTAAATGAGAAACATTGAATATTACGAGTAGGGTGATTCAAGTTAGATTTCAGTGGTCAATTTAGAAAAGATATCAAATCATATTAAAAAGATTCCAAGGTATAAATTTACATATTTTTAAGTGTACCAATAAAAACATATCAAATTAAATTTTAAGAAAAAATTAAAAAAATATTTTAATATGTTTTTAATTTTTTCTTAAAAATATGTGTAATATTCACAGTTACAATGAAGAACATTGAATATTATAAGTTAGATTTTAGTGGTCCCACATAAAAATACCATAGTCAATTTTGAGCACTGAACAATGAGCTTTACAAATTTATAAAATTTCAATGTAAACCTTAAACATATTTTTTTATGTCAAAAAGTTTATGGAATACACTAAAAAATATTTTCTATAATGCATTTTTTTTTTTTTTGCAATTTTTTTATGTACTTATCATTCGCCACCTCAAATAATTCTATTATTACATTCTAAAAAATTCTATTATTATAATCATGGGAATATAACAAACCCTTTTCCTTGTCCGACACTTCTTTTGGTAGGGCAGGTACTCCAGTAACAAGTTCAAAGAGCAATTCTAATGAGAAAATTCTTGATTAATTAAACATTTATACATTCCAAAAACAATAAAAGAACTAATCAATTGCAGGAAAAAAAATACTATTTTAAATGTTAAGAATAGGTAAATGCATGCGAGCAAAATTTTCCTTTTTTATACCCCAGTGAATTGCAATTTATGATTGATATTTGTTTTTTTTTTTTTGTTTTTTAATTGATTTACTAAGTCAGAAAAAAAATTTATAACTGCTGTTGCACAGCCGAACCAATTTTGGGTTGACATTGATCGACTAATTTTCAACTCCATAGCCTTGTAATTTTGAATCAATCCAGTAGACAAGGAAACTCCTGAATCAGTACCCCCAGAGGTATAATTTGTTATGGGAACATGAAGGACTTTGTGACTCGACAGATTGAACGTGCATCAGTCACCATTTACTACACAGGGAGTTTTCGGAAAGGGTGAACCAAACCCACAACCTTTCAGACATGGGCCCAGTGCTCTACCAACCAGGCTATAGCGTCCTTTTAAAAAAATATTAAGCCAAACTGCAGGTAGATATAAGACATTTGATTCTATATTTTTAAAAAGTTTAGGCCTAATAAATTTTCAATTTTTGTATACTTTATAACTGAATCAAATAGGTTTTTATCAAAATGCAGATAGATACAAGACATTATGTGACTTCACTGTCTTTTTGATAGTGACATTCTATATTTTTAAATAGTTTAAGCCACATAATTTTTTAATTTTTGTTACACTTTATAACTGAATGAAATAGGTTTTTGTATTTCTATTTAACTTGGAAAGAGCAAGAAAACACATGAAAATTTCATTACACATATATGCCTAAGAAATTTTTTTAGTTAACAAAATCATATTATATATATTTGACACACAACCATTAACCAAAAACAATTCTATTTTTACTCTTTTTTTTAAAACCAAAAAGCACTCAATTTAACTATTTCGACTTTCTTTAGCTAAAAACTTTTTTTTTTTTAGTATAATAAGACAAATATCAAACTGTTTTAAAAATTAAAAGACAAAGTACTTGTGTAATAACTTAAATAAAAATTATTTTAAGCCTTATTTGTACTTCCTTGATAAAAATTAATTTTATTGATTTTTTTAACAATTAGCAGGCGTAGCACCCTATAAGTACTTTTTAAGCAGTCAAAAAATATTTTTAATCACTTTCCAAAAAAAAAAAAAAAAAANGGATCTGTACAGTAAATAAATTTTTTTTCTTCTATCGTTTAAAGTTCTTTATTTATAAACATAAAATCAATAAAATTCAAAAACTTTACATAATCATGATAATAGTTTCTGTTCTGATAAATATTGCAGAGAAAATTGCAAAAATCATGCATTTTTCGTAATTTAAAATGACAATCGACACGACAAAGAAAAAATCTCTTTTCAAAATATAGAAAATTAAACAATTATTACAAACCCCAAATAAAAAAAGCACCTTAAAAGGCTTTTAAAAAACTTAAATCAAAAATAAGCACCTTTAAGCACTTTTTAAAAATGCTACATACCCTCTGACAGGGTATGTAGCCAAATTAAACAAAAAATAAGCACCTTTAAGCACTCAAAAAATATTTTACAGCACTTTAAAAAAATGTCATAAGTTTTTGACAATTGTCAAAAATCATGAAATTTTGAATCATGTAAAACGAATAGCATTTTCACATGCTACGGACTGACAATACGTGGAAATAGATTGGGGTTGAATTAATTGTGAAAACATTGAATAGAACAATGTGAACTGTGTCTTTTTGTATAATTCGAAGCAAAAATCAACATGGTAAAGGAAAAATCTCATTTTGATAAAGGGAAAATTAAGCACTTTTTAAAAACACCCAATGAAAAAAGCCCCTTTAAGGGCTTTTAAAAAATGAAAATAAGCGCCTTTAAGCACTTTTTAAAAATGCTACACACCCTGACTATATGTTAATAATTTAAATCCAATTTTCAAAAGATATTTTTTTTAACAAACAAGTTTTGCTAAAAAAATTTTCTCAGGGAGACAGGTTAACCATTCAAAGAATATGTAAGTCTCCCACGAGGCTCTTGACAAATCAAACGATTACAATAAATAAATAAAAATATCCTTGCCTCTATTTTTCAATTTCAAGTCTTCTATTTCTTCATGTAAGCTTTTAAGCATGATGGCATGGTTTTCTTGAACAAAAGCTAAGCTTTTCTCGAGTTGCTGAATTTTCAGGAAAGGGTCGACGCCTCGTTTTTCGTTTAATACTGTTTGTTGGGGAGCAGCACCGCTGTTGGAAACCACTTTGCTTGTTGCCATTATAGAAGGGGGTAGAGGGAGTCTATTGAATCTGTCCTGACGAAATGGCTTCAGAGGCAATCTTTCGGGTATGGAAAAGCGACACCACTGGTTGATATGAGGATGTGGGGGTATTGCCGCAGTAGCAAAAGGAAATGCAAGACCAGGATGTGTTACCTGGACTTCAGCCTTTCCCTCAGAATGACTCATCATAACTCATGACGACACTCAATAAAACTGGGGGGAAAAAATTATAATAAGCATTATTAAATGGACAAGTTTACCACAGAAAAAAATGAACAAAATAGTTGCTTTTAGTAGCCTAAAGCAGGAAAATAGTTTTTTCAATAATATGACAAAAATTTTATTATTAATTTTAAAATAATTAGCATTTATTTATTTCTTTTTATTAAAATATTTAAACATAACAAAGTTTTTGCGCTTTTTAGTCTGTAAGCAATCTCACAATTAGAAAAGAATATATATGTATGTATACATCGCTTATGGGCTGCAATCGGCACAACTCAAAAAATTAATTTTTGATATAAGTGGGTTTAAAGTTTTCATTGCTAAGCAAAATGAATAGGAAATGCTTTAGTTTGCTTAAACGAAGATTATCTTCAAGTTGAATTATGAGTTGTAATAGTATTGCTGCTGAAAGAAAATGTATTTTTATAATTACACCTGTTCCAAAACGCATGTTTTTTTAGTTGTGTCACTGCTGCAGCCCATGAGCGATAAATATATATATCTTTATAGAACTGAATTAATCTAAAATTAGAAAATATTCATGCTATTCCAGCTATGATAAGAGAAGCGATGAATTAATTAGAAGAGATATTTTAGCCTTCAACGGATATTCTAAATTACAGTTTCCTGCCAAACTATGGGTCTGACGATATTTATTAAGCTTTTTCTTTGAACATGGCATTTTGTGCAAAACTCACAGTAGATGAAAGCATAGTTTATAGTAGAAAGGTTAATACAAAATTGGGATATTTTGGACCTTTATTTTTAAAATACTTAGATTTTTTTTTTCAAGCTGAAAATTTTATTTCCAGATTCTTAGTCTAAAAATATATTCATTTTGAAATATTGGATACATATAATAAATTTTCATTGATATATTTTAGGAAACCCTGAAAGGTTTATCAGGGTTGTATACAATTTTCAGGGCCTAATATTTCCACCGAACGAAGTTTAAGTCACAATAACTTTTTCACAATATTTTTAGAAAGTCTGTATTTTGTCAAAAGTTTTCTATAACTAAGAAAGAGAAATTTATTTGATTTTGTAAAATTCTTAAATGAATTAGCCCATGAGTTAAAATGATAGAAATCAAAATCTATTGAAATAGCAATATTTTATAATTATAATTTGCAAAGAGAAAATATACATATATTTTTTTTTACAATTAAAAACTTTGTAGCAATTTTTTTTATTTAATTAAACCAAAACTTTTAAAAAAAAAAAAAACACGTAGATGCTTTCCTGAGCTACGACTAATACCTTTCGAGTTGGTCTCTCGCTGCTTTTTTTAGTTTTCCCAAGGCCACTAGCCGGAAGTTTCCAAGACTTGGCTAATTCTGCCACAATAAGATCATAAAACGAAAATCTCCCCAATTTCTTAACAAACTCAACTTTGTAGAGAAAGAATTAATCAGTGTGGTACACTTATGCCTTTTTTTTTTTAATTTAGTCTAAATTAAATGGATTCAATATTTTAAATATTATATTATGCACATGAAAATTTCAAATCGTGCATTTGAGTCCTTACTTTTCTTGAGCTGGCTGCAGAGTTCTATAAGCACAGTTAAGGGAGAAATTTCCATAACCTTATCTGTGGTAAAATAAGCGTCAAGTCTTAGCAACTTCTCGGTAGTTGCACGTAAGAAACTTAAAAATAAATAAAAAAATCATAGAAAGGGACCAACTTAAAAGGTATAACTCACAGCAAAAGATGAAGGGAGAGATTTCTGTAACCTGATCTGTGGCAAAATAAGCACCAGATCATGGCAACTTCTGGGCAGTGGCCCATGAGAAACTAAAAAAAAATCACAGAAAAGGACAAACTCAAAAGGTATAACTTGTAGACCAGGTAAACATCTGCATACTTTTTATATAAAAAAAAAAAAAAATTCAAAGTTCTATTTTGCAATTGTAGTTAGCGCGACAGATAACGATATGGAAATATCTCCTGGTTAAGCATTAAGAGGACCTGCAATCAGTTTCAAGTCATTTATTTTGGACAGAGAATAAAGTTGAGTATTAACAAAATTACAACATTTTAATAAAGTAAACAAGCTAGCACACAGCAGCTTGACGTAGTAAACAAATATATGTAAATTTAACAAGATATAATCAAGTATAAAAAAAATCGCTCAGTAAAAGAAATCATGGCTTTAAAACTTGACCTAAAGTAAAGTTAAATCATACCATTTTGGCTTTAAAATAGCGAGGTAAGATATTTTTAAACCTAAATTTAAGATTAAAAATAAAACGATTAAAATGTCATATTTTCACGTCAAATTATTGATTTTTCACAGTAACTGTGACACTAATCAACACACCCAGTAGACAATTTAAAATCAATATATATGTTTTACATTGCTATCTATAATCTTTTAAGAATTCAAGTTATTAACTTCCATTACCAATTTATAATATATAAAATAAATCATGAAATACAAGTCTTCACTATTTCATGCACACACCCATTTTTACAAAGCAATTAATGTAAATAACACCCTAGTTTTAAACTATAACTTAATTTTCTAGAAAAAAATTTATCATTTTAAATTATAGATTTAATGTCTACCTTCAATAAATAATAAAATATATATACAACTTACCTACTTACATATTACGATAAACACGATACCGGAACAAGAACAATCAAAATTGTTGCCAATACTTAATTAATATACAGTATATCATCAGTTAAATATTTTGGAGCCATTCCTACTGCATTCGAAAAGCGATATGTAGTAGTTACACTTTACTCATGGAGCTAGTAGTAGGAACAGTCTGAAATAATGCTTCAGGTAGAAGGTTCGATTTTACTTTAAAATCGTACAGTAAAGTAAAGTAAAATCGAACCTTCTACCTGAGGTCGGGGGTTTGATCCCCATTTCTTGTGTCTCCACATTATCTTTTAAGCAGAACTAAGAACTTATTTTTTATTTATTTCAGATTTATTTCTTTATTTCAGATTTATTTCTTGAAATAAACTGCTGTTTGTAGAAAATGCAACACCATGAAAGAATCATCAGAATCAAATGAAATTTAATGCAGAAACGACTTGTACTGATACAAATAAATGATGAANTTCTACCTGAAGGTCGGGGGTTTGATCCCCATTTCTCGTGCCTCCGCATTATCTTTTATAGCACTTTAAACCTATAAATCAAGAACTAAGAACTTATTTTTTATTTATTTCAGATTTATTTCTTCAAATATATAACTTAAATTTAATTTTGATAAAGAAATTTTTAAAAAAGAATCATTTTATATCAAACATTTCATAAATTCATAATTTAGTACCTATTATGATACATTTTAACTTTTCCAAAACAACTGTAGTGCCTTTTATTTTTAATTTAGTAAAGGAAAAATAAATGTATTCAAGTTTTCTTTTCGTTACAAATACGCACTGTCTTGGCTGACCGCCCTCTTATAACCCTAAACTTTGGCGATCAGCTGAAATGGGTGATTGCCAAACGAAATCTATCGCCAACTGCTTGGATGCCCGCTTTTTGAACGTGATTGAAAATGGCGAAAATGTTTGAGCTGGAAAGATGTAACGAATACGCTAGGAAATACATATTTTTTACTACAATATTTTTATTCATGCAAAGTGATTTCTAGATACTGGACATTAGTATTGCAGCGCTTGCTGAATTAATATAAAATAGCTCTTGGTGTCGACATTTTTACTGGCTAGCATTGCATATTGCAGGTATCATTTTCATCACTTTTCTTAGCATTATTGTCGGATCTGTGTTTTTATTTAAAGCAAGAATTTTTGTTGTTAATTATAAAGATTATTTTTGTGTGTGTGTGTGTNTTTTTAATAAGCACTTAAATTGTTTTTTTAATATTTATTTCAAGTATTTGAATTTCAGAACAATATAAAAATCAATTTTTTAAAATACATTAATTTTTTCATTTAAAATTTACAAATTATAAATCTTTAAAAAAAATGTGTTCAGATTTTTCTGGCACAGAGACAGAATGTTATTATTTATCATAACAATTTATGAAAATCAAATGAAAAAAATAGAGACCAGTGATGTGTCCAATGTCAAAGTTCACCCTGACATCTGTTTGGTACAGTGATTGATCTTTCCATCTTTATGTCTTTGTTTGAGTATACGCAAGCAAAGGAGAGGATACAAGCATCTATATTCATTGTCTACGAAGTACTTCGATTGGTTTAAATAAATTATCAAACTGAGCATGCGCGTTATTAAAATTCTGCCAAGCAAAAATGCTAAAAGCGCCATTCTAGTAAACCTGACAAAACGATTAAGCGATAACGATGAAAACGATGATGTAATCGACCAATCAAATGCCTCTATTTATTAAAAAAGCGGTCAGCCAAGCAACAGCCTTACAAATAATTTGAAGCAACTCTGAGTAATTTTGTTTTCATGTGCTATGATAAACTTAATGATTCTTTTATTTAGCAAGAAATAGAGCTACTAAAATTCTTTAATTTTTGTATATAATATGTCCTAATCAATTAAAGAAAAATATCAATTGCTTAAATTGTAATAACTTGGAATTTCGACAATTTAGCTAAATATGGCCACTAATTTTCAATTTAAAAGTGGAATTATTAATATTAATATTGTTTTCAGGTTTTAATAATGAAAATTATTTTTCATGAGCAATTTACACACATGACTGGTTTGCAACGCCCGAGTTTTTCCTTAGTGTTAGTACTTAAAAGCTTCAGGGTAAAAATAATGCATCAATAAACAACAATAGATGTAAAAAACTTTTTATATTTTTGGCTAAAAAAAAAGAAAGAAAAAACACCATGTATTTTTAATAAATCAAAAAACAATGTAATTTGAAGAATTAAAAGTTAAAAGCGGAGAAAAACGAAATGTTTTGAATTATGGCGACGAAAAACTGATCCCTTCCCAAAAATCAAATTCGTAAAAAACACAAAATCAAATTTATACAGAAGTTGTCATAAACACATCAATTTAATCAAATACGGAAGAATAAAAAGTTATAAATTTTCATTGTTAAAAAAAGTTGATAAGATCAAGGAAGCAGAAAAAATAATAATGGGAAAATATTTTTTTTCCCATCGGTCCCGATGGAAAAAAATATATCGATTTACCAATTAATTTTTTACTTTTTTTTTTATGCCGCTTTGACAGGGTAAAGAGAAAAATACGTTGCCATAATAATATTTCAGTCTGCCTCTTTGCAAATTAAAAAAAAATAAAAAATTATAATAATATCAGAAACAAAAGCCGACAGAAGAAAATTGATTGAAAAAATTGAAAATGATTTGTCGATAGGCCTGCTAGAATATTCATCCTAAACGGAGGGGCAATCCTCTACCACCCCCGATCGCAAAGTTTTTGATAACTTTAAAAATTATTAATTGGCACTACAATGTTAAGAGAATTGAAATTGCGACAGGAATTTCAAAAAACATATAAAAAGAAAAAATACCTTAAAATCTAAGATCAATGTAAAACATTGCGACTTACATAAGACTTATTGATTTATTTAATAATCATAATTTTAACCATTAAGTAAAATTAAGCAGCTCGGAAATTTATTTCAGCATAATATTAATTAAATTAGGACCCTAGATTTCTAAACCTTTTAGAGGGGCTGTTTTTTTTTCTTTCTAGTATTGTTATAATTTTTGGATTGAGATTAATTTATAAAAAGAAATTCCCTTACCTTTAATTTATTTGATTTTTTAGAATCTTTTTTTGAGCGTAGGATTTTCAAACTTTTAAGGAATTGACCATAAACTTCAGGAATCATAAATTACCGAATTTATAAATTCTGTGTTTATATATACAGTATACTTTCGATATCTCGAAAACCTTGTTATATCAAAAAAATATTTTCCCCCTTGGCATTATATATCTACCGAAATGTTAATTTAATTACTAATTTAAAGTGTAGAAAACGTGAGTTCAGACAAACCTAGAGTAAACTATGAAGTTTCAAATACTGAAATGGAAATTTTAAAACATACAAATGAAAATAAATTATGAGATGATAATTTAGGATTACGCAACAACGGAGAAATTCTCATTTAATAATTTGTTAGCATTTTAATATTTTTTTTAGCAATTGAAACTTTATGACTTACTCTAGGTTTGCTGAACTTTCTTTTAAATCAGTAATGAAGGAGAAAGAGAATTTGCGATGAAAATTTTCTTCCGCGGTATGGAGTCCTCTTAAAACCTTGATATATCGAATTTTTTTTCGAAATAGAAAATTAATTTTTTCGGAAAAATCACAAAATCATTGTAAACCAGTTCTGTTCTATTTAACATATTATTGTTTATGTCTTACTTTCAAAAATAAAATTATCATTGAAAACAATTCTTTTCTATTTATAGCATAATTGTCTTACTTTTAAAAATAAATTAGAAAGAATTTAAAAGTTTAGATTAATAGTCAACTATCATCACATAAATATTTAATAGTAGTTGTTCTTACGTTTCATGACTCTACTTTTAGAGTAATATTTTAGAATATATTTTTCCACTTTTTAGAACATATTTAGTTCGGAGCTTGTTATTTCAAAAACTCGAATTTTTTTTATAGCACCCCTTTTACAGCTTACTCTAGTTGCTACATTTTCTAAAGCTATTTGCCATTTCTAAATTAAATTAAGAGGACGCCATACAGCAGAAGAAAATTTTCTTCCCTAATTCTATTTCTCCTTCATTGCTAATTTAAAAAAAAAAAAAGTAAGTTCAGGCAAACCTATAGTAATTTAAGTCATGAAGTTTCTATTGATAAAAAAAAACTTCAAAATATTAAAATGCAAACAAATTATTAAAAGATAACTTCTTTGCTGCGTTTTCCTAAGTTATCTTTTCATAATTTATTTTTATTTGTATACATTAAAATTTTATTTTCAGTATTTGAAACTACACGGCTTACTCTGGATTTGTCTGAACTTACTTTTTTCTACACTTTAAATTAGTAATGAAGGAGAAAGAAAATTTGAGAGGAAAATTATGGCGTCCTCTTAAGATATCACTTAGAGCCACGTAATAAATAATTTTATTTACACAACAAACCTCTTTAATCATAAGTAAATAAGTTATGAAACTAAAGATAAAATAATTTTATTTAATTTCTTTGGAACTAACAACAAATACATTTGTATTAATTCATTGTTGAAATGAGTAATAGATCATACATGTATATAAGAAATATTTTCCTTTAACAATGATTTTCATTCAAACTCTTATTCATTGGTAATACTTTTCAATTTTCAAAAAATAATTAGTATTCAATTTCCTTTAACATTGACTTTCATTCAAACACTGTACATGCCCAATATATTAATTTTTTTATAAATATTAAATTATGTCAAACGGAAAATTTCTATGTACAATATGCTTTATGATTAAAACCTTAATGACCCTGAAATCCTAGTAAAAAATAAAAGCTATACACAATCAAGGTACCATGTAAGTATTTAAATGCATAAAAAGAGCTTCTTGAAAATCCAGTGTGTGTAGCCAAATCATTCAACAAAAAATAAGTACCTTTTAAGCACTTAAAAAAATATTTTTAAGCACTATATACATTAATAAAATGCAAAATAAATTT